TGGCTCTAAAACAGAAGGAAAAAAGTGGATACAAAACTTTGTTTAAGAGCGCATTCAAATTTGAATGCCTTAAGATTCTCCCTGACAAGATAGGCCATGCCATCCTTCTTCGGTTACTTACATCTTTTTCCTCAAATGCAACTAGGTTTTCCAGAAACTTTTGAACCTAGACGGAGTCAAACTGCAATTATAAATGGGTTTGTCATTTAGTTCTTCTTTTAATTTGGTTATTTTTAATTTAACTTAAATGACTTTTTTTTAACTGTTTCCTAGCTTTCCGTTTTTCTGGTAACAATTTTTTTTCGTTATCCCAAATACTTGGCTTGATATGACTTTGTGACCATGTGTAGGACTTCTCATGGACGTTTTGTATACGACCAACAAACATGTCGGTCTAGCTAACTGCACATTTAAACAAATTTATAATGAATCAATTCACAATCTGCATATATTAACTTTTTTACGAGCAAAAAAATCTGGCATAAATTTCATTTTCACTTTTTTTTATGGGAAGTTAGTTGTCTTTTTTATTGAACAAAATATAATAACTTCGAAATTTTTTTTTCATTTAGCTATTTCCTAGCTTTCGGTTTTCCTTGTAATGATTTTTTCATCGTTGCCCCCAAAAATTTTGCCTTAATTTTTTTTTGGGATCATGAATAGGTCTTTTTGTGGTGGGCCCATATCTGATCAGCAAATATGTTCGTTTAGCTAACTGCACATTTAAAACGCATTCATGCTACATGCTTTTTGCAACTGTTTTACAGTTTTGTTAACAAAACATCCGACAAAATTTGAATTCTAAATCCAAATAGTTTTTTAAATGCTTTGTGTATTTCTTGACTGTTGTTCTAATTTAATTGTTTTTTGTTTTAATTTGATTGTTTCCAGTTTTTTGGTGGCGGTTTTTTTGCCCAAAACATGCTAATATTTGATGTTGGGACCATGTGTAGGCCTTCTTGTGGCGGTCCTGTATATGATCAGCAAAGGCACCGTTCTAGCTAACTGCAAATAACAAATATATTTAAACTGGATTAGTTTGCTAATTGCAGCTGTTTTACAGTTTTTCAAGCAAAAAATTGGTCAATAAAATCTCTGGTAAAAAAAATTGTTTGCGTGTGACTTTGTTTTGACCAGCTCTACTTTATGTTTCAATTTTGAGTTCGACTGTGCAGTAAATTTGTGTTCAATTTTATGTTTGACTATGTGTTCGACTTTATGTTTCGACTGATTCGACTTTATGTTCCGACATTGAGTTCGACTATAGTGCCGTCTGGACTATAGATTTTCGTCGAACTGACATGTGTTCAATCTGAATTGGTCAAATCAAAAATCGCAAACCTTGACCCTGACAATGTAGCAGGAAAATATAAAGTTAAAAAAAACCAACAATTATCACCAACTTTATCCTAATTCGCCTTGCTACACTGTATAGTTTTCTTGCTTTTAGATTTTGAAAAACTTTTCTAAAGCAAAATGATTTTATTTCTAAGCTTTCTTGAATAGAAAGCTTACTTTTGGATTTTTATGCATATTTGACAGCAAATTGAATTTATTTTAAAGCTTTCTTAAATAAAAAAATTTTTCAATCAGTATTGAAAAGCATAATTCTCATAATCATGGGTAGTTTTTTGTCATTTCGGCAAATTACTTTTGTCAGTTTAATCTTTCAAATTTGGATAAAATCGAGCAATGTATTTCATGAAATTACCTAAAGTTGAATGCTACTACGTAAAAATGAAATGAGTTTTTGAGAAATCTTTTTATGTTACAGGCTAGTATTAAATCATTATAGTCTTGAACAGTAAATGAAAATCCAGTGAAGAAAAAACTAACACTTGAACAATTGACTTGATACAAAATCCAAGAGTTCATGTTTATGTATTGGCAAGCTCACGAAGCGTAATACTCTATTAGCTTTACCTGCTGTATATGTATTTGACCAACTTTTTCAATATCTGAAAAGTTTTTTAAATTTGATTTTGATGGGCTAATCATATTTTTCTAATTTTTCAAGTTTTCCATAGCTTTTTATTTTGTCTGGACCAATTAGAGGACCTAATTTCAAAAAATTGGGATAATTTAAACTAGCGTCATCTAGCGTTTTTTTTTCATCTAGCATTTCTTTTTCAATTAATTAAATTTTCTTTGAAAAAAAAGTTAATTAATTTTTCTTTAAAAAATTGTCAGTTTTTGTTTGTCCATTTTTTATGAGACCAAAGAGGGTTTATTTCACTATTTTTATACGCGTTTGTTTATTTCTCTAATCACAAGACGCACTAGAGGCGACACTATTTTGAACTAAAAATTTTTTTTTAGTTTTTATGAATGTGGTCGGAATATTCTGTGCTACTTGCACATCAATCGTTTCATTTGGAGTAAACGAATTAATGATTTTGGGTATCAATCATTGCTTTTCGAGAGAAAATGAAGACCAAGTACTGGACTCATTCATGCACTTATTCACAAAAACGTAAGTGCCTGTCAAAACTAAAACTCCCTCTCTTCCTGTGCAAGTCCTCTGTGCTACCTCTGTTCTACTAGTTCCTAGACGACAGCGTTTTTGCTCTGTTTAAACCAAAATTTGGGCTATGAACTTGGCCCAAAATGTCAACCGTTTTTACCCAATTTGCTACAAACTGAACTCATTCAGCCTCTTTTGTGAAACATTCGGCTCACTAAGCCCTTTTTCAAAAATGGCCTCATTCAACGACATACTAAGAAAACGAGGGCTATTAATTGGGCCACATGGGCTATATAATAGGCTAATTTATTTTTTTTTGTTTAACTTTTGGTTCATTTACCTTAACGTTTGGGTTCATTCAACACCCTAAAGCAAATTAGACGTTACCAACAAAAACGAATTTAGACGTTAAATTGTTTTTGCAAAACTAGCATTTTAGACGTAAAGCAAAGGGCTAATTAAAACTTATTGCCCAAAACAAATTTTCGTATTTAAAACAATAGTGTATGGTCCCATTGCATATCATGATTTATAAAATATTCATTTCAAGATTATAAAACATTTTTGAAATGCATAAAATGTACAATTGCGGCATGTGAAAAATAAGGAAGGTGAAAATTGCGAAATGTGAAAAGTTGATTTGCATTTAAGAAAGCTCGAACGAAAGATAACTGTAGTCGGTAAACAAAATTTAGACACGAACAATACAACTATGTCTAATTTCCCATATTTTTAATTTTGCATCGACGTCTAAATTCGTTTTGGTTGGTCACGTATAATTTGCGTTTCGTCTAATTTCCTAGGCCCCTTTGTTGTCAGTGTAGTGGCCATTAGTATCTTGTTGATATCATTGCTTGTGATAATTAATGTTACTGTTTCTGTTTGAATTTTTTGTAATAAGCTTTGTTTCTCAGCCCGCACCAATGACTCATTAATACTAAAAATTTTGTTTTCGAAAGTTTTTTTTCACGCAAAATCAGGCACTCCAAAAATCCACGAAATGGGTCGGGGGGGGGGGGGGGAGATTGTTAAGTAGATTACTTGCAGCGAATTTTCGACCAATCAGAATGAAGCAAAACTCGATTTTACATACAACGCTCTTGTGCGAAATTACTGTTCTTATTTACGGGGTGGAGATTCTTTAGTAGATACAATAGGGGGGAGATTGTTAAGTAGACCCATTAAACCAAAAGTCCTTTCACTCGTGATAGGCAAGTTTTTTTTTAAATTCTCAAAATTTTCTCCCAGTTGCGAGAAAAACTATTGTAAAAACGGTTGTTCAATTTCTAGCGAGTAAAGCGATCGAGTAACGTTCTTTATTAGAAAATTTGTTTTTTAGGTTTCTAGGCTACGAAAATTGGCTTTCACTAAAAATAAAACTAGTTTCGGAAGCTTTGTCTAGCGCTTCTTGGGCAAAAAAAAAGTTTTTTTAAAGTATCTTTGAAAATATTTGCAAAAAATTAGAACTTTTTAAAGTTCTTTCATTTTTTTGTTTGTCACCCATTTTTGAAAACAAAAGATGTCATTTTAAATATACAATTATTGTCGTTTAAAATGTTTTCTTCTTTCTAAGCAATTATGTTTGATCTCCCTCCAGACAGGTGCAAAATAAGTGCACGATTAAAAAAAATGAACAAATCGATTTTGTTTCAATTTCCTTTTTCAAAAACTATTGTAGTCGAAGTCTTCTGTGCTGCTTGCAGAGCAACTGGTTAAACCTATCGTTTCGTGTATTTCCTAATTGGACAACTATTTTTTGGTTTTTATTGAAAGTTTTGTTCTCAGTCAAACCACAATGCACTTTGCTCAGAAGGTGGGCTTAAAATTTTAGAAATCAAATGTTGCTAGTTATTTTTTCCAAAATTTAGCAAATTTAGACTTAATTCATGATAAAACGTTATTTTATAACTTTCACTGAAGCGTTATTGCGTCTATGTTAATATTTTCACGTTCCACGTATCGTTCATGAACATTTTGCTGTCTTGCTTAAATCGTTTTTGACTTTCTTCTTTCCTCACAAATTTCCCGAGGTGCAAAAACTCGTGGGATTTTTTACCTTTTCTACGACCAAATCAATGCCTCTGTAGCTCGAAGATTTAGTAGATTTAGGCGGGCGCGGATCTAGGATTTTCTCGAGGGGGCGAATTTTCAAATGTCGGCCAATAAAATATGCAGATTTTCCGAGCTCTCTCAAATCACTAAAAAGACCCTGCTCTGGCCATTTTTTTTGCTCCGCGGGTCATTTGTAGAAAAACAGGCCAGAAAATGTTTTAGGCTTTTTTTGGACAGTTTTGACAGATCGTGTTTTTTCGGCGCACGCTCACCTTTCTAAAATAGTACATATTGACGCCTAAGGCGCCTTGAGAAAAATGCGAGGATCTAGGTCCGTTTGGCTCAGCGATGCTTTTACGAGTATTGTCTTGTCTATTTCATCTTTCTGTGTGATCCCGACCTACAGTCGTTACTTGCGAGAAAACGTTTCAAAAGAAAAGGTTGAATTTGGAAATATTATAGAAATATCTACACATTTAAAGAAATTTATCTAAACGAAAAGTGCTATCAAGTCGTTTGAGTAATGAAATTGCACAAAAGGAACGAGGCCGAATTTGAAAAGAGCAGAATGGAAAATAAGACTACATGCAAATCATCGGGTAAAGAAATAATTCTATGCTTAAAATAAAATTTCACATGAGGACTAATTGGAAAAATCTGTCAAAGATAATTCAAATAAGGCAGAACTTAAAGTGATGCAAAGTTTTATTTTTTTAGTTTTTTTCTCTGTAATTAGCTGAGATTGACTGAGTTTGTGTTGTCGTTTTCGTCTGAAAACACGCCTGAGTCGACTTGGGTATTTCTTCCACTAGGCGAAATGCTCTGTGACCTTGTCATCTGACTCGAAGCATGTCGTTGTGGGTTACTGGAGTTATTGGATGTCTGAGGGTAATTATACTTAGGGTTCTCACTCATTCTTTGGGGCTTTCTGGGTTCGGATTGGTTTCGATTCTGCTTCCTGGCGTTTCGCTTTCGCATTTGAGCCGAAGGTGCACATGAATCGTCAATAGCCGAGATTAGTTGTCGTCTGCAAGTGGGGTCTTTGCACCAGAGTACGAAGCGATGAGTCACCGAGGACTGACTGAGGTCGGCGGCCGATTCGGTGAAGTCTAGCGAGAACTGCTGAGAGTCGTCGCTCATTTCATCCGGTACTCGGGTGGTTGTTCCCGTGGGAAGGAGGAATCTCTGTTTGGCTGAAGGATCGTCTTTGTTTGACTGCGCAACAAGGCTCTAAAAAAACCAAACAGTTAAAACATGATATATAAACCAAGACGTTGTGATTTGCAGATATACAACAATGAACTCAATAATAATTATTATTATTATCAGAAACTGATGTCAAAAATTCTGATCTTAATTTTGATGTATGTTAACTAAGTGGTATACAATTATAATATTTGAATTCCAGCTTACCATTTTCCTTCGTTTCTTGTCGCGTGTGTTGGGAATGAGTACGATTGCATCTCGGAATACAAACATCATCATCTGTGTGTTTTTGCCTTTCTTTCCCGAATTTTCCTCGATTGAATTGCTGACCCAAGTCACTGGTCCATGAGCCAACAGTTGTTCCAGGGGCAGTGCCTGGACTAGACTGGAGTCGATTTGGGAATCGAACAGCATCTGGTCGAATGTTGGGTAGTAGTCTTCGAACACTCTCTGCATTTCGTTGATATGAGAACCAAGTTTGTCCACGTTTTCGAACGTTTGCTCAATTGTTGCGTATCCTTCCAAATCGGCGGGATAATTGTCGGCAATTTGTCTGATGAACAGTTTGTATTTCAGAATTCGCTGAAGCGGTTTGATCATAAATGATTGCAGGTTTCGAGCTTGCTCGTTCAAAGGGTTGCTAGAGTCCAGAAGCTGTTTAAATTCGGGATCCATGCTGGCCTCTTTAAAGATCTCAAGAGCTTTATTGTGCAGTGCGCAATAAGAACCATAGATCTTGAAATTGCCAACGTGTCGTCTAAGAGCGTCCATACAGGGAATCAGAGATTCAACTAAGGATTCTAAGGTCGTTGATGTTGCTTCTAGAGACGAATGTTCAGGGTATACAGATCTCAGTTCGGCGAAGAAATTTCGCTGGACCTTTTGAATGTTCACAGCGGCAGAGTAAAGTTGATGGATCTCAGAATGGTTGACCAGCTTTGATCGTACAATCGGAGTGAGATAATCACGGATAAAGGAATCCAAGTCTTCCACGTAGTGTTTCTCTGTGAGGAATAGCTCATCCGAAATTTTAGACAATTTCTGGAACACCGATTTTGAGTTAGGTCCGGCGTCACAAGAAGCTGAATGATCATTTGACGAGGTCTTTCGTTTTCCGCAGACATCACAAGTTGAGCTAGAGTACCTGGATGGTCTGAGAGATCTGATAAGGAGACTAAGGTTGTCTTTCTTCTTGAGATGGAAATCAATCAAGCTCTGATCAACTGATGTAACAGGCAGGTTATCAATTTCGATGATTTCATCTCCTTGAGTGATTCCGCCATTCTCCGCAACTGAACGTGACATGACATCGAGAACGAAGAGTCTAGATTGTCCACTTCCACTATCGGCTCTCATTTCAAAACTGAAGCCGTAAGGTTCACTAGGGTTCGTTTTGGACAGGTCTACTGTTTTGTATTCTTTGATGCAGAGTTCGATAGCTTCACAAGTGTAGTTAGTTAGCAGAGCTCTGGGCTGAGGAATGAGCCATCTGTCGAACTGTTTGACCCTGATGAAGTGATCCTTGGGATCCAGACTTCGCTTTCTGCAACATCTGTCTAAAACGTCTTGAACTGTCGTGTGGGGAAGAACCGGGATAACGCTAGTTTGGTTCCTGGGCAAGTTGATTCGTCCCAGTTTTCCTTTTTCGTGATGATCCCAAACCGCTAGTTGATCCTTGGCAGCAGGTGAGCAAACGATTGAATCATCAAGCGAAACAGTGGCATTATCCACTTTGCCAGCATGTGAGTTTCGTCGTTTCAGGTTTCGTTTTGCGATTTCATCTTTAGCAGAGACGGAATCCTTGGCTCGGAGAAGTGAGAACATAGTTCTTTTAGGTCGTTCCAGGGATCCCTGATTCTTGCCCTGAGGAATCGACTGAGCTGTGAGGAGAGCATGTACTGCGCAAACAGAGAAACAGTTCAGTCGCGATAGCTGAGATTTCGTCTCTTTCGTTGCCATGCATAGAAGTGTCTTGGGATTGGGCAAGTCCTCGTTCCTCAGTGATGCGATGTAGCACTTGAGTCTAAATGAAGAATACATGTTTGAAAATTTTTTCACAAAAACCATTGGATATCCTAGCTTTTTGGGAAAAACAGTAAATTTGTACGGCTCGAATTTCAAGTTTTAAAATGAAGTAAATAATCTTTCTCGATTGTTATTAGTGAACTGATTTGACTTTATTGTGATTTATAATATTTGGGAATTAGTGTTTACCTGAAAATATCGCACTGGTATTTTTCAGTGTTTGTCAGGTTCTTGGACTCCATGCAAAGCTTTTCTTTGCGTTCAATGTCCAGCCTCAGCAATTTGACAGTGTCTTCAGAATTCTTGTTGAGAGCAATGGCGTGTCCACAAACTAAAAAGAATACTCCCAATTATTTATCTAGCTGGGAATGTGAAATCTACAAAAAGTGAACCCAAATTATTCGAGCGAATAGTTAACATTTTGAAGCTATTTGTTCCTATTTAATTTGATCATTGTCCTTTTCATTCTACTTTGAAGTGGATTTGTGACATCCGAATGTGATTAAAACGAGACCTTGACCGCAAATAAATCGTTAAATGGCTATTTGGGATTGGGAATTAAGTTGAGCTTGCAGCAAAAAGCAGTAAGAACAGCAAACTGCTACTGAAGATACTCTTCTTACCTTTATGGATGGTGTTGGTCCAGGCATGCATGTCTGCGTATGATATGCACTGGATCATGAACACGTCTCCGATGCTGGTGCTCACGACTATAATGTGTTCCCTTCTGGGGTGTTCCGGCAGAGGCTGCACCAGACAGTTTTCCAGGGCTGCAAATACAAAGGGTCAAATTGACTGGAAACTTAAGTGCCAAGCCGGACCAATTTTAGTAATAATGGTTATCTACATCAAAACCATTTTTCTTATAACTAACTTCCTGATCGTGTAAATACTTTTTAAAATGGTTATCTTAGTTTAGTTACTAAAGATTGGAACTTACCGATGGTGCTAATGGGAGTTGCATTAGCATTGTGCATGTCAGTATAGAGCAGCAAAGTGGTTCCCTTCAGACAACACCAGAAGCGTCTGAACTTCCTCTTGGCCACTGGGTCAAGCTTCCTCTTTTTCAGAGCCAGCAGGTGCTTAACTTCCAGCCATCCTGTCTTGCATGAGACTCCAAAGTTGCCGTAGTTGTTGCTTTCCTGGAACAGTGACTTCGGTTGCAGTCCACTGGTAGGAGTGGGGGTGTCCTGGAGTTGTTGGGAAGTGTCCAGGGAATAGGTGCTGGGTGTGTGTGACATAGTGCTTCCTGGCATCCATTCTGAGGCTGTGATTGAGCTGTAGTTGCATTTGGAAGGCTGAGGAGTCTGCGTCTCAAGGTCATAAACGCTCTAAACAACAACAACTTTATATAAAACATTTACCCCAATTATAACGCAACATTTTGTAGATCAATTATGAACTTATTGCTACTTTAAAATACTAAAATATTTCGAAAAATGGTGTGATTTCGAACGAAATATTACTTTTAATGAGCACCGCTTGAGCCTTGACTCGTGCAAGTACCTGAGAGGAAGATATAACGTCGGAAACAGATGAGCAAAGAGTTCGATCTTTGTCGAATGAATCGTCCGAAGAAGAGGAGGAAGACGACGAGAAGTCGGCACTTCCCGCCTCGATAAAAGAGTCGATCAAACTACGCGCTTTATCAGCGCGGATTCTGATTCTAAAGGAGTTTCTACCCCTGAGTCTGAAGTTCAAGTTGCACTGAGAAGTCGATGAAGTCAAGAACTTTTCATTGCTCGTTTTGTGAGACATGGCAAGTTAGAGAAGAGTTTTTCAAGCGACGAGTTGTCTAGAGTTTAACAAGTTCTCGGCAAATGCAGACTTTTCGTCGCCTTTGTCTAAGGTAGGAAGTCTTAATTGTGTTTAACGCATATGCGGTGTAGAAAAATTATAATTTTTCCTGCCAGGGCCGAAAAAATAGTGGCAACCAGTGGGTTAATAGGACGCTTTTACAAGTTTCACTATTTGTGAGGCGTTTTCTTCGAAACTGGTACATAAAGAAATGGTTACAGGTGAATTTTGCATCTAGAAATGAGGCACGCTATTAATGTACGTATTAATTGATTGCTAATCGAATCGATTATGTCTTCGGAATACGTTGAAGTTATCGACTAATAAAATGTCTGAGTAAGGAATACAGGCTATGTTGACTATTAAATGGCGATTACAGGCAAAAATGGGCTGTATAATATTAGCAGCGCTCCAAAAAAGATTTTATGATGGCAACAACACGCAATATTATTTTCAAATGTCCTATAAGTCACTAATTTTTATAGTGTTAGAAAAAGAAAAATGTTTATTTGATTTCATTTAAATGTCACTAGATAACATATACTTGTACTCTCCAATTAAACTGGTAGAAATGAAAATGAAAAAGATATGTCTGTTTTTAACTCTAGTTTCAGGATATGACTAATATGTTTTTCGATCAAACATTTTGTGGTGTGACTAGATTGCGTGTGACTCAAGCGGCTAAATTGAAAAAAGTTTCAAATTAACGAACATGTAATTAATTTTTTCCACTAAATTATGATTTTTTGCTTCTAAAGCGTTCGGAAACTGAAATTGATGCCAACATTTTTCCTCTACTCACCCTAAGAATAGTGTCGTCAAGGTTTAAACTGCAGTTGATGCTCAAGTCGATAGTTGCATTTAAATCGAAACACAAGCCAGACCGGTCGAATTCGGCGGGAGGGGAGTCAAAAAAAACCGAAGGCCGGTTCCTTTTATAGGGTGGACTGGAAACTTCATGTATGTTTCCAAACGAATCAGTGGAAATAAGACAAGTAGGAGTTTTTGGTTTCAAAATCCAAGGCATTTTGAAGTTTTAATATTTCTAAACTCTTTATTCAAGCTCAGTAGATTTTGTTGTCTATGTGTTTTCTGGGTAAAATGAAGTAGCGTTTTTTTGTTTCAAGCTTAAGATAAGTTTTTGTTTTGTCGAATTTGGGCGAAACTTTTAAGTTGGACTAGCGATAAGTTACGGTTTGAAGTTAGGGTTTAGCAGTGAAAATAGATGGTAAGTTGGATAAACAGAGACTTAGGGTTGAAATGATTTTGTAAGCTAACCGGTACTGTGGAAATAACAAAACTGCCACATTAGAGCAAGTGTGAATAAACATGTAATTCACACTTCAATTCAGAGGCGATCGACTTCCAAGGGCTTTGAGCGCCTCTATTTTGATACTGGGCCTTCAAAAATAATCCCTCTATTCGAAATGCTCAAACGCACTTGGCTTGAAACGTGATCAAAAGAGTACTCGAGGCATCCTTAATTCAACCGAAACTGTTCGAGTTATCTATTAGTAGGTTAATTAGATCAACATACTACATTACAGCATCTTAATTATATGAAATATGTATTCGATTAAATTAATTAATAAGTGTTTTGATTAAGAGTCCTCAACTTACCTCTAATGATTTATCCAAATCGGTATAGACGACAAAATCCACGTTTTCAATAGCTGATTGACTAGAATCGGCAAGCCCAGCAAATTGATTTTCCAATTTCAAAACTAAGGAGCCGTCAATATTCGGAGAATCGAAGAAAATAGATGTTCTAGGTTGTTTTCTCGGAGGACTATCCATGTTAAGTTTTTTGGTAACTTTAATAATTTTGACGTTGGAAGAGTTTAGGTTATCGAAGTTGAGCATTTTGGAAGATTTTGAGGTTAATCCGCTAATGATTTAGGATAAATCTTTAATTTTTTTACTACCGGCTTAAGCTGATATGTAAATTAAGTTTGAGAATCTGATTATTGATCAATTTGATATTGCAGTTAGTGTAGGAAACTCTAGTTTGAGAAAAGTGAAAGGTGTGAATTTGCACCAAAAGGTCCCTGAGAAATTGGAGCGAGGAGCGAAAAACGTTTGAGAAAACTTTGAAGGCGGAAGTGACGCTTTTTGACAGAAACAAAAACTGAACTTAAATTTGAAAGGCACTTGTTACAAATACACCAAGTTGTTCACACCTTTTCACCTGGCAATCAAATGGACAAATTTTCTCAAGACAAGTCTCATCAAAAAGGAAGGTTCTGCAAACAATTGTGAACCGAATGATGAACTTAATAAATAAATGAAAAAAGCCCAATTTTTTTGATAAAGACTGTACAGAAACGTTGAAAATTTGAACTATATTCATCATTTCATTTTATAAGGGCTATCGGCTGCCGACTGTATGCTAAGCTTGAAGAAAAACGAACCAAAAAATTCTTCATAATCAGATTTCAAAAAACAAAATTGGTTGACGTAGAAAAAATTTGAGCTAGTTAAGATTTCGAAATGAACTTGATTTGCAACTTGGCTTGAACTTGATTCGGATCAATCAAAGTTAATATTTCAAACCCTCTTTTCTGAGCAAACAAAAGAAACGAATTCTACCATGTAATGCTTTTTCGGATGATCAAAGCAATAAAAATATAATGACAGGTTCCGATGACAAGCTCTTCATCTCGATTTTGACGCACATTCATAAAGAGACGATTTAAAAAATAATCAATTGGCCTTAAGAATGATTTGAAGAACGTTTTGTATATTGGGTCCTTCATTCTAGAAAATTAAGTGAAAAACTGAGGTGAATTTTGAACGCAAAGCGATGGATTGCAATTTCGGACATCCTCCATTCGAACTAATGAAAAGGCGATGACTATGACTATGGTACAGAGAGCATGATTGAAGCAAAATCAAATGATTTAGTTAAGTGACAAAGATAATTATTGTTGAAAAGTGATAATCAACTCATACCGGGTTGAGTGAAGACATTGTCCTCTGTGACCTCAAGGAGTCACTACACGAAGAGCTAGTCCCCTCCCCCTCATCCCCCACCCCACCCGATGACCTTCCCCTCCGCACTCCTCTGCAGCTGCCCCTCCCACTGTCGTCATTGTTGCCCGAACATCCGAACACCCCTCTGGGCTCATCGTCCTCTTCGTCGTCATCATCATCATCCTCGTCATCCTCGCCACAACTGCTGTATCCCCCATAACGGAGTCCCCCTACTTTGGGAGTGGAACTGTTGAAATCGGAGGAGTCCATTCGGGAATAGTAATGGTGTTGCTCGGGTAGCCGACATTGATCCGAATTTATCAAATGCTGCTGCTGATGCTGTTGATGTTGTTGTTGTTGTTGTTGTTGTTGTTGTTGTTGTTGTTGATTTTTTTCTCGCTGTGCTAGATGCGCTCCCAGACTACTATTTAACACAGCAAAAATATCCTCAATTTCAGCTATTTCAATCTCGCTCATAGGCGTTGAGGTTCCACTTTTGTGCCTCAAAGGAAGCGAGTTCCAGGGTTTGGGGGACACAGGCCGTTTCTTGGAGTTAACTCGACGGGTGTTAAGATTGGGCGTGTGCACGAAATCGTTTATATCGACGGTTTCATTGTTAAAAAGGGAAAATAAGCGTCGCTGAACGCTTCGAAACATTTTCACTCCGCTATTTAAGAAAACAGTTTTCGACTTCCACTGAGTTATGAACTAATTAGTTCGGGAGTAATTGGGAAAAAGGAAAAAATGTGAAAGAAAACTTGCAAATGTAATTAAAGCATAAAAGAATCAAAGGTACGCTTCAATGATTGTTTGATTAATGTACAAAGACACGTTGCAATATCGCGGTTTTTTTTCGGTAGGGAATTTGGAAAGGAAAAGAAATTGACAGGACCAAAGCAGAATTTTTTCGATTGACGAGGAAATCGAAATGCAAGTGAAGTTAAGAAGGTGTTGCGAAGTGGTATCAATCTAAATTTAACTAACATAATGGGTTTGGTTGGGTAAAGGGTTCAGTTTTGTAGGCAATCAAATCAAGTATGGAGGGTAATTCAATTTTCAAGTGCTTTTAATGGTTTGAGGAAGCCTTAAAATTTAACTGCTCTAAAGCACGTTTCCTTTTGAAACGCTTCAGCTTTCCTTTTTTTGAATTCACTAGCGCCACTACTAAATTTTTCAAGACTGAAGTTTTGATTTTTTAAATGAGGGCAATTCAATCTTGAGAATGATACGAAACGTGAAAATTTTTGTTCAAATATTTTGTTTTTGAGGTAGAATTGAGTTTTCGATCAAGCTTTACAACCTCTGCTGTCTAACAGGATATGGTTAATATTTCAAAAAGGACACTATGAGCCCATGGCCAAATTTCCAATCTTCAAAGGGAAAAGAGCCCAGAGTTAATGGACCACGGTAAGCTCAGTGGAATAGGAGATGTAGTATGATTTCAGCTAGACTATGGAACGACTGAGATTTCTGGTTGCTTTTATTTGGATTGTGGCGGTATGGTGAAATAAAACAAATTATGAGCTGACAATGCCAACAAAATTGGTGGAAATCAACTCTAATATTGTAGATTATAACGTTATGATTTGCGAAAACAAACAGGAAAAATAATTTGCACAAAAAAAATCAACTTATTGCAACGATTTGCTATTTTTTTCACAGTAATTAATGACAGAATTTTGCAAACTATGAAAATATGCGAACTGACGGATGATATTGACCTTAGGATTGGTACTTGTGAATTTTGTTTTCGTCTCCAGATATGTGGCAGCGTGCCAATTAGATAAAAACAAGGATGATCAGCGCAAATGTGTTAGAGACTAGACCGTTTTGACTAAGTTTGCATATTGTGCATGGTGTATATTGAGGAGTGTTATGTAAACAAAGAGTAGGCTAATCCCTACTTTGCCATCCTAAATCTACCCGGGTTGGTGGAAAAGTTGCGTCTGCTATAAACAACGCCATACACCATCCTAAATAACCTCATAAAATCTAAAACCCCCCCCCCCCCCCCCAGCAAAGCCTTTAGACATCACAAAGATACAGCTGCACTTTTTTGTTTATTACCACTCAGCGAACAGCTCTTTTTAACACCCATTATTTCACTTCAACATTTCACAGCGGTATTTTTTAACATGTACCATCAAATTTACAACCTTTACTTTGAAAGAAAAATGGCTCAAAGTATTTTTAGTGCACCCAGATTGTATCTATGTTGATATAGACAAGCAGTGACGTATCTGCCGTCAAACTGCACAATAAAAATGGGAAAAACGTCCTAAAAGTCTATTTCCTAGATGTTGCAAGAAGTAAGCAGGTCGACAAAAGTGAACTGCTCTACACTGGTCTGATGTTTTTCCCTTGTTATCCCGGTTTGTTTGATTTTTATCCCTCGCTCGTGGAAATGAGCATGAGGGTAGCCATCATAAAAAATCAAGCCAAAAATCATTAAATTTTATCCCTTTGTTTCTGACTTTGTGTGCTAAGAAGACACTGTCAAGTGTAACTTACTGTCGTTTGAAGTTGGTCTTCTCAGCGAAGCTGGTCCTGAATTCCACACAATCAGCTTCTAAAACATGCCAAATGGTCAATCTCAAAATGCTGAAGATCAAATTCTGAAAAAATTCTGCAAGTTTTTGAAGTTGAATGGCCACGATGCAAATCATATCACTTTATTCTCTACATTGTATGGGGGAAATAAAAAATTCAAAAATTTCGTTTTTTTTTAAATATTAGCGGATACTTACATATAAAACGGAAACTTCCTGCTTCAAGCACCTTAAGAGGTAATCGGAACTTTAGTTTTTCTCTCTGACAGAAGCTTTCGTGTTTTAATTTGACTTTACAGCAGTTCATTTTTTTGCTATAAACTTTGATATTACGAATTATTAAAATGCTTACTTCATTAGATGCTGGTACAAACTAACAGAAATCACTCGCTGCAAAAAAGATTGATTCACAAACAATTGAGGGTTCTATTATATTGACGAGGTTATGTTATTTGAAAGGGAGTTCCAATCCTTTCCTTTTAAGATCATTCACCTGAGGTGCACTGACTGACCTTTGATGGGACTTATGTTGTTTATATTCACTGTCTCATTCACTGGACTCTCCTCTATTTTCAGCTTCCGAAAACTGTTTTCCCACGTACTTTGGCTACAATTAGCCACTTGGCTGTGGTAGGATATCGACTTCTGAAGTCGTGCTTCTTTCGCCAGTCGGGAATGCGACCTACTCCTGCTACTCCTGTGACTCATTACGATGTCGCTATTTGCCACTTTGTCATTGTCATCATCTTCGTCGTCGTCGTGAAACGAAACAAACTCGTCGTCATCGTCATCAAAGTAATATGACTCCATTGAATAATAGTTCGAAGCTAAACTGTCGTTACAGTCGTAATTGCTATCGAATACTTCAATGTCGCTCAGCGATTGTTCGTCGAGGGTTGGAATCCCTCCAAAACTGGGACATTTCCCGCTTTGCTTCCGGATCTGTTTTGAGTCGAATATATTTTTCGTTGTCCGGGGCGGGACGGGTGGAGGCGTTGGCATTGGCATTCTTTTATTTCCTCCTGATTTTTCCGGGGAAATGGTTAGGTTATCTTTTTCGTTGGGACTGTTATTGGATTCCCAGTGCTTAAGAAGATCTAAGTTGACGTAATTCTGAGTCATTGTCGTGTTGTGTTGAATGAAATTGAACTAATTAAATCTGGGTTTCAGGTCATATATCGCATAAAGGTGAAACGCACATTTAGAAATCAGGAAACATTCGGCTGATGGCTAAACGGGTAGTGAGCAACTGTTTAGTAGATGTGCTGTACGCTGTTGGTATGAGAAACAAATAAAGATCGATCAAAGTTTGGGTTTGGCAGAGTGTGGGCTTCGTTCAATCAGGCGTGATAAGAAGATGTGAGTAGTTGAAATATTGTGCTAACTTTGACCGAAATTCGTCATTCGTTAAATGCAGAGGAGTTGACTTAGGCAGGCCCTGAAACAACAGTCGCATATGCAATAAATCAAGTATTATAAGCGGCGATAAAGACTTATATTTGATACGAACAAATTAAAAATTAACATCAGCTGAGAAAATGTTACATGCTCAACTATGTTCCCTTTTTATTTACATGAAATAAAATGGTATAAAATGGAAGTGAAACTGTATATAGGATCCTGGATGCAATTTTAATGAAAGAACGAAAATTTGATAATTATTTAGTAGCTAAAAAAGCGTTTTTCTGCCTCGTTTTCTTAAATAAGTACTACGCTATACCATCAATATAATGGCGTAGCTTAAAATAACACAAATTGGTGGAAATCATCGTTCTTTTTGTTTTTCACATTTGAAGCTACGTTTCAAAAAAACCTACACACTGCTTCCGTTGGCTTTCTTTTTGTTTTTTTTACCACCACGCCTAAATTCTACAAAGAGGGAAAAATAATGTGGCAGATTGCAACTTAGCTTTTGATTAAAGAATATGTATAATTAAACGCTGTGAAATAAAGCTGCTCTTAATTAAAAGCAAATAATATGATGTTTCGAAAATTTGGTAGATGGTAGATGATTAGGAAAAATTTTTAAAATTTCGCCTTAAACTAGCTGGATTTTTTTTGCCTCAGAAAAAATTCAGAACAAATTTTTGTCTCAGAAGAATGTTCGTCATAAACAAAACTGGCTATCGTTAAAAACATCAGGGTTTTTTTTTCGAATATGTATCAAATATAACATCATATATGTATTATCAATACGCTCAAAGGAGATTAGCTCTCAATAACAAGCTGAGGTATAAGAATGTTAATTACAAAACAATGTAGTTTTCGAGTGAAACCGTTTCAGCAATTTCTCTTATTTTATCATAACGTTTCACCATAATTCGTACTTCAAAAAACGTTACAGTTGAATAGAAAGTAAGAAATGACTGAGAGATAAAAAAAAAGCTGCAAGAAGTTGATTTTGGTTTTCAAAATTAAGGACATATTGAAAATTGGACATCCAGATTTCTAATTAGGCGGAAGAAAAAAAACGGAAATAATTTATAGGGGAATAGATTTTTTTGATGGAGCGATCGAATGATGAAAATATAGGAGTCTTTGAGAGTCAAATATTTGAAAAACTGACAATTTTGCCAAAAAAACAAGCCAAGCAAATAAATTCAGCGCATTTATATCACTATTAGTCAAATAAAAATACCCAATACTGCATGTGGGTTGATTTTTGTTGGAAGCCCACCAGTCTTTTTGTCAATCAGACCACTTAGAAAAAGAAAGTATTCGATTGACAAAACGAACACTTTTGAAAAAGTGCTCTTATTTTATCATAACGTTTCACCATAATTCGTACTTCTAAAAACGTTAGAGTTGAAGTGAAAGTAAGAAAAACGAACACAAATTGAACAAGACTGCTCGTATCAGGGCGAAGCCCTGAATGTTCCGACTGCCTTTTAATGTTTAGTAAAATGTAAAAAAAAAAAGAAAAAAAAATTTCTAAAATTTGAAATTTTTTATGAAAATCATCCCCCCACACGCCATATAAAGTACAAAAGGATAGATTTCGTTCCTTGTAACAAATCAATTATGGCAAATAAGCTTCTTCGAACAAATTTGGAACGATTTCTAAGACGGATTAAATCTCCGCTTACGCGTTAATAGCGCGAATTATATCGCGCGTTAATTGTCCCAAATTGGTCAAAATGGCCAAAATGGCAATCTTTAAACCCTCATAACTTCACGAAAAATGATCACAGGTGAAATACTTTTTCAAATATAAGCTCACGACAACAATAGCTTTCGAATGATATAAAAAAATTTTGTCAAAAATGGCTAGTTAAAAAGTCGAAATTTGTCTGAAGAAAAAAAAACCCACCCCGAGCACAAATATTCCGTTACTTTCGTATCGAAAGTCGGAACAAAAAGTGCTCTTATTTTGTCATAACGTTTCACCATAATTCGTACTTTAAAAAATTTAGAGTTGATGAGAAAGTAAGACAAGAATGCTCGTATCAAGGCGAAGCCCTGAATGTTCCGACTGCCTTTAAGGTTTATGGAGCAGCAGTAATAACATTTAAAAATTTAAATGAAATAAAATAAAACGAAATTTTTTTTTCTAAAATTTGAATTTTTTTAATGAAAATCATCCCCCCACACGCCATATAAAGTACAAAAAGAGAGATTTCGTTCCTTGTAACAAATCAATTATGGCAAATAAGCTTCGTTCAACCAATTTGGAACGATTTATAAGACGGGTTAAATCTCCGCTAACGCGTTGATAGCGCGAATTATAATCGAGCGTTAATTTTCCCAAATTGGTCAAAATGGCCAAAATGGCAATCTTTAAACCCTCATTACTTTACGAAAAATGATCACAGGTGAAATATCTTTTTAAATTTTAGCTCAGGACAACAATACCTTTTGAATGATATAAAAAAATTCCGTCAAACATGGCTAGTTAAAAAAAGTCGAAATTTGTCTGAAGAAAAAAAAACCCACCCCGAGCACAAATATTCCGTTACTTTCGTACCGAAAGTCGGAACAAAAAAGGGAACACAAATTGAAAAAGTGCTCTTATTTTATCATAAAGTTTCAGCATAATTCGTACTTCAAAAAACGTTTGAGTTGAAGAGAAAGTTGTTGGAACCCCACCAGTCTTTTTGTCAATCAGACTACTTTCAGTCCAAAATTAATTTATTGACGAGACCAATCAAAGGACATTGGAACACTTAAGGTTTTGCCCTGACATACCAGCAGCTTTATCATTTGCAATTTCACGAGTTGTGGTCGGTATGCTTTTTTACTCAAGTTTTCTAAGCATAAGTTTCCGTAACAATTTTCATCAAATGTTAGGGAGGGCTTTTAAGTCAAAGTTATTCAAAAGGGGATTATAAACATTTTTGGTTAAGCTAGGAAATAGGTTGAACAAAAAACGTTTTTTCTTACTAAACGCCTTACTTGAGAAAAATCTAGATCCTCCCCTGTCTTAGATCTACTGTTCACCATATTTTAGAAGGTAGATTCAGTAATTGCGACCTCCAGGCTGGCTGTTGAAACCCCAATCTTGACAGATGGAGCAAAGTAACTAACCGTCAGCAGCAGTGAACAAAGATAGATAAGGGAACCTTTCTCAGAGTACGTGGTAAAACTAAGTTCTTCACTGCGGTTAAAATCAATTGAATTGAAGATTTTGAGAGAATTTAAGAAAATCAGTTTCGTAATTTAAAGCTTCACCAAAATAGTTCTGACAGTTCGATTAATAGCATATTTAAATTGTGTTCTAGGTACACTGGAACTTAAATTGCATTAAGATAATTGCTTACAGGTCAAATTGATTTAATGTTTATTTATTTTTTTGTTCCACCGTAAAAGGAAAAGAATGAGAGGGAACTGAAAACGAGCATTGACTCATAAGCATGTGTTGAATTAAGGGACGAGAGAAAAATTGGGAATTTAGAGATTTACTTAATACAATTGTTTGATATTTCCTGCTTATCCTTTTTTTTTAAAAAAAAAAAGAAATAAAAAAAAACAAGAGGCAACTTGATAAAAACAGTAATACTTAAATAGACAACTAGTCATGTATTATTGAAAAACAAAAGAATAAAACTAGAAAAAACAAAACCAGCCGATTAGAACGAGTAATTCTTTTAAGTTCAAGTCAAAAACATGTGCAGTCTTAAATTTATTACTCACTCACAGCGTCAAAAATATAAATAATATATCAATTAAATATTTATAGCTCCTCCCTATACGATCTGAGAGACGTTATATGAAAAAGAGAGATATGGCGCGACATTATCTCGAGTGCACAATGCAACCTTCGTTAGAGATGCGAATCAGTGGTCTATATCATATTGTAATTGCTTCTCCGATGAAACAGGAATAAGATTTTTGTTCATGTCTTTTACTTTTGCAAATCAAAAACACGCTCTAATTTAACTAAGTGTATCTAAAAAAAAACTTCGTGTCCAGAGCATTCAATTTTTTTTTTCGCTCAGTTTAGAAATCTGGAGATCTGGAAATCTCTAGCAGATCCAATGGCAGATTGAAAACAGGTAAAAAAAATAGCTGATTAATATATTTGATCATTTCTAAACTTTTTAAATAAAAAAAGTTCATGACTTCCTTTGAATTTCAAGAATTGCTTATGATTGCCTCTGTTTTTTCTAAATTATCACATTTAGACAAAACGGAATCAAAAGGTAGCTCTTTGTATTCCGCTGGGAATTCAGAAAACTTTAGTCCGTTTTTGAGTCTTCAAATTTTTGATGATTCTTAACGTCATTCTGTCCCTTTTTACAAAGAAATGAACGACAATCTATCTATATAAATGAAAATAACTTCGTTTTTTAAACAAACTTTAACTGCGTATCAAAATTTAACAAAAAGTTTTCTTGACTGAAATATATCACCTGTAATCAAAAATTAATCAGTATCTGAGTTTATTTGAATCATCAGTTTGATATAATAATTCTTCAATGTATGTGAAATGGATATAGGAACGACAGAAGAGCACAAAAGCAGCACTAGAGGCATGGGTGCTAATTTCATGAGCAGAGGACCGAATGAGCAAAATACTCATGGGCTAAGGACTGAAAACAAAAACAGCCGAAAGTCTATTAGTAAAATGAATCAAATGCCGTTTATTTAAAAGGAATTTAATGAAGCAGTGTTTTGCTTCTTTCATAAGGAAAGCCTTGGAACCAGGGGCGGATGCGGACGCCCCCCCCCCCCCCCTCAGGGATTCGACTCCCTGCCGACCCAAAGGGTCCCCCTTCGGTAATTTTTAAGAAATCCATTTTTGGCCGACCGACCCTAAAATTTTTCTAAAGGCGCCTTGGGCGCCAATATATAAATATATACTAACTTTGAGGGGGAGCGCGCGCCAAAAAAAAACGCGATTTTTTGTCAAAATTTTTCAAAAAGTGCCCAAAAACGGCTTTTTTACTGTTTTTTCAAAAATTTGCCTGCGGCAGGAGAGCTCGAAAAATCAATTTGGTCGACCTAAAAAAAATTTGGAAAATTTTTTGAAAATCCGCCCCCCCCCCCCGCCTCGAGAAAATACTAGATCCGCCCCTGCTTGGAACATAAACTTTGTTCCAACTCGCCGTCATATTTCTGCCGTCATATTCCAACTCGCTGAATTTTTCTGCCATTTTTATATTCGGTCAATTTTAATATTAAATCCTTGGAACTATTTACATTCTTTGAGATTTTCACGCTTTTTTTTCCGAAGTTTGAAATACTATGATCTGATTGGCTAATTTTTTTCGCCCATTCAGTTCTGCGCCTATGAATGATTCCATCCAGAGGCTCAGCTTTGAAACAAGCATCTATAGTAATTGTCATCCCAAAACAATAACACCTATATATGTAGATTTTCTAGATATGCTGTTCATCAGCACAAAAACTGCTCAAATTTCTTAAATAGGTTCATATTAGTTAAAATTACTCAAATTTTTGTTTAAACTTGACTTTCAACAGTTTTATTTTAAACTGTTGCCATGTTCATATGGGATATTTGCATAAGAATTGGGCAACTGTCTTTTAAGAAAGTTTTTTTTGTTACTTTTTGTACAATTACTTCAGCTTCTGGACAGGTAAAACATGAAAACACAAATTTACGCGCAAAAGCGCTCACATATAAACATATAGAAGTACCCCCTCTCATTAATGAGCATAATTGAGGCAATGTTTATCGTTCTGACTTATATTCAGGTATAGTTTGTTCGAAGAAAAGGGCTGATTATTCGTGCTCGGAGTGATTTTTTCCAAAAACAAGTTTTGAGTTTTTTATTTAAAAGCTAGAAACCTCTTATTTCGCAAAAGAAATAAGGAGTGATTTTTACTAAATCAGGCAATAATCAATTCAGCAAACAAAACAAGTGATAGTTACTCAAAAGTTAATTCAAAATCATATGAAATTTATTAATCAATGGATAGTTTAAAGTATTTCAGGGGTATTTTATAAATCAATACTTATTTTGTTTCTTCAAAAATTTTGCCCTATTCTTCATATCTGATTCTTGAAATCTGGCAATGATGCAATTAAATGTCGCTAAGATTTGGAATATTTGGTTTTCCGACCAAACTCCTTCCGATTTTGATTTACTCCTGCTACTTCCCAAGCCCAAAAATTTTCTTTGAATTCCAAAAAACACTAATTCAATGTTTTAAAAGAAAAATTGGATCAACCTGAAAGTCTCGCCGGCGCCTCTCCTTTCATTAAAGGGGTGGCGGGGGGCTTCTTAAGTACAATAAATTAGTCAAATTTTCGAGAGCAACCAGTAAAATAAGGATGCTCAATAAAAAGCTCTAGAGCTAATTTACTGTTTTATTTAGAGGGATTGAGATTCTGTAGTAGATACCATAGGAAGGGAGATGTTTAAGTAGATCCGAAGAAACGCACAAATTACAATTTATGATTTTTTTTTTCAATTTCATTTTTTTTTTAAAATTTTTAATCAGTTTTTTTTACATAGCGAGAGGACTTTTATTGAGACTCAAGAATCGAATCATCTAAATAATTTGATTAAAATAAATAATAGTTAAGTAAGCGCAAGTGCAATGAGAAATCCCCGCTCCACTCTGATAGCCATAATTTGGCCTGAATATAAAAAAGCAGGCCATTTTTTTCGACACAGATATTTTTGAAAATTAATTTTTGGGGTCCGAATAACGAATGAAAGGACTTCAATGCCATACTGCACTCGATGTTGGATTTTCGGATTTTCTTTGTTTTTATTAGATGAAATTTTACCTGTATCTCAATTTATCCCAACAACTAGTACATTTTTGGCTAATTGATAGGTTTTGATTTACGATGAGGAAAAAATAGAAAGTTCAGAAGATAGAATAGAGCTTTTTGTGGCAATAGTAAAAGCTGCTCTGATCAGGGGCGGATTTAGGGGGGGGGCGGACGCCCCTCCCCTCAGGGATTCGACCCCCTGCCGACCCAAAGGGTCCCCCCTTTGACACTTTTTCAGAAATCCATTTTTGGCCGACCGACCCTAAAATTTTTCTAAAGGCGCCTTAGGCGCCAATATATACTAACTTTGAGGGGGAGCGCGTGCCAAAAAAAACGCGATTTTTTGTCAAAATTTTTCAAAAAGTGCCCAAAAACGGCTTTTTTGACTGTTTTTTCAAAAATTTGCCTGCGGCGCACAAAATTTAGCCGAAATAGGGGCAAAACAGTGCTTTGGGAGAGCTCGAAAAATCAATTTGGTCGACGTAAATAAAATCCTAGATCCGCCCCTGGCTCTGATTGAAAAGAAATTTAGCATGCAACTATAAACATGGTCAAGATAAATTCAAATTTTGATTTCAATTAGGTAGTTTTATTTCACCTTTTGGTTATTTTCTGACAGTCGCTCTAAAATGAATAGCTGTTGGTTGTAATCAGAAAGTTTCAGTAAGTCATCCTCCGTCAGAAGAGATCCTTGCTTCAAAAGAACAAAAAACGCAATAAAACAACAAGAAAAAGATATATTAAAAAGAACATACGCGGAATTGGAGTAAATTTTATTGTAGAGCAATATGCCGCCGCGCAGTCTTGCTGAGTTGAAAAAAAATAGACAAGATTTGATTGTATGCACGTTCAAGATAAGCACAGAGACTTTAATCTTTCAATTGAAAAATTGTAGAAGCGCGAAAAATTATGTCGGCACAGATGCTCACGCATTAATTAGCTATGAAGGATCAAAGAAACCTAGCACAGGTATGACAAGTATTTTTCAATTCAAGAACGGAAGCAAAGGGAAACCTACAATTGAAAATAGGAAGAGATAATGTAACCCCAAAAGGTGCTGGCGGTATACAAAGAACACATTAAAAGTTCAACTAGTTGTCTTAATTTGATCAATAATCAGAATTCAGTTCAGGAGCAGCTCGATAAAAAGATAAAAGGGCGACTCAATTCTGTCTGCAACTCGAAATTGGGAAGCATGTTACTGAAGGTGTATAAAATATGGATAAATATCGAGATCACAAGGCGAGCAATAAAATTATTATACAAAAATGGTTAAATTAAATATGGTGTCTTCTAATGTCAGCTAAGTTGGTGGGATACTCGGCCTTATTTCAACAGCTGTTATGAAGATATAAAACTTGGCGAAGAAACTTCGATTTTACGAGAAAATAAAACAAATCCGGTCACGACTTTTATACTTGGTCTTTGAAGTTCAGATTTAGGGAACACGCGCCCTAGTCTTTTTCGATTATAGCTCTCGCGGCAATCGATTTAGGGCTATTCTGCTGTAATTGGTAAAAACGTTTTCAGTTGTCTGTTGTCAGTTTCTGGTAATAATGAGTAAACGGTTCCAGATTTTATCCTTTGTGTGCTCCAGTACACTCGACGTGTATTTTCCAATCGTGTTCCAAATAAATTTCTCTCTACCTTTCGTTCCATTCAATTTTGTTTTGATAACAAACACAGCATTCTATGTGTGTGTTCCATTCCGTTCCGGTGGTATGAATTCTTCTGGTAGAGTAACGTATCACAACGTAATCAACACACATTTTGGCAGAGCTTGTAATCGAGTTCAAATGAAAAGTATATACCAACTTGAGTTATTCCTATTTATCAAAACCTTTTTTGTTTTCGAGTACGTGAATATGGAAGCAACTTATATTGCTCTTAGTTCAGTTGAGTGTTAGTTGGAAAACAAACTATAAATCACCCTGTGTTTGGATTGGAATTGAACCAACCGTTCTCTTGGGGCTATTGTGAAATGTAATTGTAGTTAAAGAGACCGATTGAGTGGGTTTGGTTGCAGTTGGAGTTGAGTGGCATGGCTGAAGGCATGGAAAAGAGGTTACGCGGATTGTAAGTTTCGACAGGTAGAGAAGCTTCTCCCCGTAGAATAGTCGAATTGGCAGTTAGTTGTAAGTTTATCGATCTGGTAATGCGATCCGAAAAGATTTTTTTGTTTAAATTCAAGCAATAAATTAATCAGTACTTAGTAGATTGAGATTAGAGCGTATATGCAGTAAAATTCAATCTACTGAAGCTGATTATCGATTTTTATGCAATTTTGTATCAAACCGAGCACGCAGATATTTTTTTTTCAAAGAAATGTTCGAAAGATTCAAAAGAAAGGTTACCGAAAGTACCATCCGAAAGCACTATGGCGACGCTTTTTTTGCCAAACGATGGAAAATGAATGGAAAAAATGAAATTTTCAATCGTAAAAAATTACTTTGAAAATGATTTTTATCACTATTTTAAATCCTAAAGCACTATGGCGACGCTTTTTATTTACCAAAAGATGAAAACTAGTCAGAAAAAAAATGAAATTGTAAAAAAACTACTTTTAAAATGATTCTTTATCACTTCCTCTTAGTTTATACAACAAAAGCGATAGTCAAAAACTTGAATACGATTTATTGAAAAGATATCTTAGTCATCAAATGAAAAATTTTGCGGAAAAAACTTTAATGATTGAATTTGAAGTTTTAATGTACTTTTAGGCTTAAAAAAAACCGTTTTTTGATAAGTAATAGAATATTTTTATCGATTTGGATCATTTTGTACTTTACAGCATGTAATGAAACATTTTTATAATAAGCCGGACATAAAAATTGTTTTTTTTTACATGCCAATTAAAATAAAAAAGTTTTTGACTATCGCTTTTGTTGTATTTCTTGACAAAATGTTTTGTAATGTTCGAAAAAAATAAATCAGCTTGAAAAAAACAATTTAGCGGAAAAAATGTGTATGATTGATTTTGGGGTGTTAGTTGACCTTTAGGCTTGAAAGTTCCGGTTTTTGAAAAAATAATAGAATATTTTTATCAATTTGGATCATTTTGTATTTTACATAGCATGTACAGAAACATTTTTCTAAACAATGACGCGAAAAAATCTCCAGTTTTTTTCATTCATTGAATAAAAACGCTTGTTTATAAATTATAAGGGGTAGTCAGAACTTCCAAGACTCTGCACTTATACGAGCACTGTAGATTGATTTTTGTGTTGATATGAGTATTTCTTCTCATCCTTTACATCAAATACCCTAGCTAATGCTATAGAAGCAAAAACTTATGTCAATAAAGATAATCAATAATAAAAAAGAACTGATGCAATTTTAAGCCGATAAATTTTTAAAAATTTTTCGAATGAAATTTTTGGGAATCACTTCAACTATTCCGCATTTATTGCAGAAAGGGATTTGATACTAGGTACAAAATGCGCATATCTTTCATCATTGTTTTAGTTTTTCATCTTGATGTTTATAATAAACAAGGTACCACAGGCGGAGGGATTGTAGCTTAAGAGATTCTATTTTGAAATGAGAGTTTTGGCTACATATTTCATAAAGTTTGAAATTTACTTCAAGGTTATATAAAAAAATCCAACTACAAGGTTTTGTTGGTATTGTTGGCATAACAAAAATCATTGCAGCGAGAAAACTTTGTTCCTTTTTTTTGGGTAAATGTTGAAAGATAGAGTGCATAATTTAAAAATCTGGAAATTAATATATACAAGAAGGATTTCTTAAGTACGTACAAAAGTGGAAAAAGGGGGAAGGAGATTATTCTAAAAATAGATCACATAGTTTCACAGTTTCAAAGTAGATCACATAGTTTCAAAGTAGATCACAATAGATCACATAACCAAAACTCCGAGATTACAAAAACTATCAGAAGACTGCTAAGCAAGATAAAAATACCTATAGATGTGATTGATGAAATACGAGAAGAAAAAAAGTTTCTATTTATATGTGAGTTGCTTTGATTATCAATGGTTGATTGTTTTGCAGAATAAAAAACCTGTCTTAAAAACGGCCTAAATTTTTGTGGGTTATTTCCAATCACTCTAGATTTTTCTGGGTTTTGAAAACTAGTTTTTGCTTTCGACGGTTTGTCTTATATATACTCAAACGATTCGGTAAAGGGCAAAATCAGACAATAGAGGCAAAATTAACAACAATTTTTAATAGCAGCAGACAAACTACAATCACTGGGCGATCTTTTTATCAAACAAACGAAGGAACATTTTTTTTCCAGGATTTTGTTGTCATTTTTCATAGATTTATCAGAGATATGTAGATTTTGGATAAAATTTGTCATGTGTTAAATAACACTATTAAATAAGAGGTAGTTTGATCAACTTGTGACAATATTGGTCTGAAGGCGTAAATTAGCTTGCACACCGCCACCAAAGTCAGAGGTTTTCTCGTTATTGAATTACTCTCCCAAACAACACAAGGAATTTGAAGTTTTAGGCTCAAGTTGTTTTTTCTTAACATAAATTTTTGGTCCCTAACAGCGAAAGAAAAATGAAACACACTCCTGGTCCGCATATGAATAATTTTCAAAAACGACAAATTTGAATGTGTGCTGATTAGTTGCTTTAGTCTGAAAAAAGCTGCAAGAAAATTCCTCATTACTCAGTTAGTGTCCGATTTTAGTCAAAAAGAACAATTGCTGATTTGATCTCACCTGAATTGTTTTAAAAATCCAAGTTTTCTATAAGCAAAAATTCATAAAACAAAAATTCAACAGCAAGCAAAAATTTGGTTGCTAATGAGGTTATATTTTTTTTCAAAAAAATTAGAAGAAAAAACGAGTGATCAAGGTTGACTGATAGCAATACAAAAAGATCAAAATGCTTCTATTAAGCTAGAATTGAAAAAAAAATCTTGAAATTTTTACATGCGAATCGGAATCACGATTGAGAAGGCTTCATATTAATACCAAATTTGATGCCTTAGCTTACGAAATTGTTTTGAGATACCTGATTTACGTGACAAAACATGTTTGTTTCTTCCCTCCAAAAAAAAATTTCTCTGTAGCTTAACCAATTTTTGTAAATTGCTTATGAATTTCTTTGAAAACATCAGACATTGTCAGTTTTTGTAATGAATTCACATGGAAACATTTTTTTATCATTATTATCGTCCCGATATTGAAGAAAACGGATTTTTTTTGCTCGGTGTATTTTATTTTCTTCAGCCAATTTTCGCTGATCGAAAGAAGAGTTTTCAACAGTGGCGGATCTAGGATTTTCTCGACGGGGGGGGGGCGGATTCTTAAAAATTTCAAAAATTTTGTCGACTTTTTATTAAGTCGACTAATTGATTTTCTGAGCTCTGCTGAATCACTATAAAGACCTCATTGTAACCAAACTTTCTGCGTCGCAGGAAAAATTTTGAAAAAACAGGCCAAAAAAAGGCGTTTTTAGAAACTTTTTGGAAATTTTTGACCAAAAAGTTGCGTTTTTTCGGCGCGTGCTCCCCCTCAAAATTAATATGATGTGGCGCCGAAGGCACTTTTAGAAACGTTATAGAATCAGTCAGAATCGGATACTCAGAAAAAACAAAGGAGGGACCCTTTGGGTCGGCAGCTGGTCGGATCTCCGAGGAGGGGGCGTCCTCCCCCCCTCTACTGGTGGTTTTCAACAAAAAAATTTTCCCCATTGATATCGACTTCTTAAGTTCAAATTTAAAAAATTATTTTAACTCCATTTCTTTTTTTCAAAGTACTGGCGATTTGAAAATTGTCATTTTGGCCACATTTTGGACAAAATTATGCGCGCTTTGAAGAATTTATTCATTTTTCAGAGACCGTAACGCAAAATATTTATTCGTGGCGTATCCCGCACAATAAAATCGTTTCAAATATAATTGAGGCTAGCTCATCGGATTGGTGGTAATAATTTCATACGACTCAACATTTCACTCTTCGGTATTCTCCAAAAATAATAGGTTTTCAATATTTTCTTTTCCCAAAAACTATTCGATATGAATCAAGGGGTAGTCGGAACATTCAGGGCTTTGCCTTGATATACCAGCAGTCTTGTTATTCTTAAACATTTAATTTTAAAAACTTTGAAGATAATTTTATTTCTCATGAAACATATTTTAAATTTTTTAAAACTGTATTTTGTATCACAAATCTGATTTTGTAAAATTTTTAAAAACGTGTATGCTAAATTGAATCTGATTTTGCAGAAAAAAGTAATCCTTTTTAAGCTAAAAAGCGAAAAATCGTTGTAAGCTAAAGTGCGAAAAGCTAATCCTTGTAAGCTAAACTGCGAAAAAAAGAACTGAGACGGGAAGGATTACTTATAAACGAGAAAGATTTTACGCCCAATGCAGTAGATATCAAATGAAAAATGTTGTTACTGTAAATTGAAAGTAAAATAGTTTCATCAAATAAAAACTGTATCAATTGAAACAGAACGAAAACAAGGATAACCGTTAGACGCGCAAGTAGCACAGACAATTAGAAATTTAAAATAGCAACGCAAAAATTTTCAGGATGTTTTTCGAGTCCAAATCTTAACTGAAAAGTCTTAAAAATCATAACAGACTTTATGCTTTATAAAAGTAGTTTGAACTACTTAGTTTTGCTCGGAAGAAAACCTTCCCTTCCCAAACATTCTCATCAGTACATGAACTACCTTCAGTAAATAAATGAAAGCATTTCTTATAACGTCACTGTTATGAATTTATTACAAATGTTGCCGAAGCAACTA